TGTGAAGAAGCAAAAAATTATCCTGAAAGTTGTTCCAGAACCTGCCTAGCAGGACATCCGAGATCTTTTTTCGCACTGCTGTGAAGAAGCAGAAAGTTGTCCCGAAATTTATCCTCCTACCCAGCAAAACGTCCCTGATCTTATTTCGCGATACTGTGAAGAGGCAGATGAACATCTCGAAAGTTATCATCGACCCTGCCCAATAGAACTACTGTGATCTTCTTTTATGCTTTTGTGAAGAAAAAAGTTGTTCCCGACCCCGCCCAACTGGACATCTGGGATCTTCTTTCACGTTGTGGATAAAAAATTGTCCCTAGCAGGGATATCAAGGATTTTTCGTGTTGCTGTCGCGCTTTACTAGGAATTCCGTTCACCTGAAAATCGGAGGATATACTAGAATTTTGAGGCGACGATGTCGACTTGATTTGAAGATGAGCTAACTTGCTGTAGCTTTTATACCATCATGTGTTTGTCTTTTTGGCTTTTCAATTGCCTGATATGACATTTGTATATAGTGATAACTTGTTTGTCTCTACATCTTTATCTTGATGCAATAAAATTTTATGTTGCTTTTGTCTTTCCTTTTGAGCTATCGTTGCCCCACTTTTGGGATGTTTTTACAGCCCTTTTGGGTGTTGTTGAGAATGTTTGACTTTTCTTAGGTTTCTTAGTCAGAGCATACCTGCTGGCTGAGCGCAACTTATAGTGGAAGGAGTCAGTTGTAATCCATGCAGGATATAAGGCCTGTCCAAGGTTATATAGCTGGAGATGCTCGAAGACGTTAATCTATAGAACATAGTCGAAATAAGGATTCATTAAAGATATGAAACCCACACTTGGTCTTATAATCGAAGATGCTCGACAATGCTAACTTGTGTTGAAGCATAGTCGAAAAAAAAATCCATTAAGAATGTGAGACTCTTTCTATGTTGTATGGTCCGAGCATCTGCTTGACGACGATAATATGGAATGGACAAACTCATATAATCCACCAAGGATGGTTGACCTATTTGTGGTTGTTAGTCGAAGCTTCTGCTTGATGAGGGTAGTCTATTATGGAAGAGGTCAATAGAAATTTACCAAGAATTTGTGACTTATCCAAGGCTGTTAGTCAAAGTTTATTTTGACAACCGTAGCATGTGATGGAAGAGGTCGAATCAAGTCCCTTTAGGATTGATTAAGCGAAAAATGAGTTGTCAGAGATGCTTCGTGTTTTTCGAGACTTGGTCGTAGGTCACAATTGATCATACTTTTTTTTGGAAATATAGTTGCACCATACTCAAGAACAATGTTTGATAACTTGCATGTTGCTGCTTTTGAATTTGTCATCCTCCAACAAGAGTGCTTTCCATACAAGCTTGTAAAACAACCTATGTATTTAACCTTAAAAAGATCAACTTCTTGATAGAGTTGAGAAAGAACTCCAATATGGATTTTTGGGGTGGGGGGAAGTTGCCCCAGTCTCAAAGCGGTTCTCAAATATTTAATGTTTGAATGAAATGTGGGATGACTACCCTATCATAGTTATGCCCGGGATGTTAACGCGAACAACCTTTCGAGATTGTAGTGAATGTCCCCCCTAGCCTGGAAGTTGTCATAGTTTTTGTGTATGAATAGGATGCGAGAAGACTAGTCCACTGCAACCATGCCCGGGAAGTTAACGTGAACGATCTTTCAAGACTGCAGTGAAGATCGCTTCCCCCTCCCTCCATATCAAAGAATTCTTTAGAAATGATCTTCAAGTGATGCAAAAATAGTTTGCCAGTTTAATGATGTATATCATTGGGAAATTAATTAAGGGCTCTCCATCTCAAAGTTGAAGATAATGCCGAACGAGATTTCATTTCCCACAGATTACGTCAAACTGATGCGTACCGGAAGGTTCGCGGCTGTAGAGTAATGAGTTAACATCTTAGTATTAAACGGAAACCCAACACACACAGGTAATTAAAGAGAGGCAGGCAGAAGAAGACACATCGATTTTTATGTGGGAAACTCTGAAAGGATAAAAAAAACCACGGGCCTAACTTAGTTGAAATAATCTACTATGTATAATGAGTGCACAGGTCCACTCTTCTCTTTAATTAGGGAAGATGAATTTACAAAATGATCATTGTAAATGTAGAACTGTGGTTCATTGATAATAATGTAGTGATTGTAATGAATGTAGTTCTTAATGATATTTGACTACAAGGGCCATAATCAATTGCTATGGAGACAGTAGTTTTTCGTGAATGTCATAGACTGTGGCTGTAGCTATGGCTTGTATTGTATTTGAAAGCCCTGAAAGTAGTTGGTAATGGGGTTTGTAGATGGTTGCTTTAGGAGTGTTCTTTGGCCACAGAGGTCGTAGTGCAAAGCTGTAGGAGCTGTGATCTAGATAGAGCTATAGTTAGTCCATGGGCCGTACTGGTGAGCTGCGATGACCTTCGTAGACCGCAAAGGCCAGTCGGGGGTTGCACTAGTTGTGAACCATATAAGTCATAATTGGTCGCGTAGCTCGTAGTGGTGAGCTGTAATGATGTCTGTAGGTTGCAGAGACCTAAGTTGGGAGTTGCACGAGCTGAAAATCACGTAGGCTGTAGTGGTGAGTTGTGATTACGGTCGTAGGCCACGGTAGTTGGAATTGGAAACTACATGACCTGTGGATCACATAAACCTTAGTTGGTCATGTAGGTCGTAGAAGTGAGTTGTGATGATGTGTGTAGGCCACGGGGCTGGAGTCGGGAGTTACATGAGATGTGGACCACGTAGGCCGTAGCAGTGAGTTGTGATGATGTTAGACTGCCCGGGCTAGAGTCGGGAGCTGCCCGAGTTGTGAACCACGTAGGTCATAGTTGGTGAACCACATAGGCCGTAGTGGTGAGTTGTGATGATGTCCTTAGGTCGTGGGGGATGGAGTTGGGAGCTGCACAAACTCTGCGTCATGTAGGTCGTAGCTGGTCACATAAGTTGTATTAGTGAGCTATAATGACTTCCATAGGCTGTGGGGGCCAGAGTTGGGAGTTGCACAAGTTGTGGACCACATAAGTCATATTCGGTTATATAGGTTGTAGTGGTGAGTTGGGATGATGTTCATAGTATGTAGGCCGTAGGGGCTAGAGTCAGGAGCTGCACGATCTGTGGAGAACGTAGGTCGTAGCCTGTCACATAGGCCATAGTAATGAGCAATGATGATATTCGTAAGTTGCAGTGGACAGAGTCGGAAGCTACATGAGCTGTGCTGGTGTCTGTAGTCCACGCCGGGGGGGGGGGGGGGGGGCGGGCGGGGCGGG